TATTGTGGGTGTTACGCGTGGTGCTTTCAGACGTTCACCAGTTTTTCTGCTGACACAGACTCTGCGTTTGGAACCAAATAGTTCAAACTTGCTTTCGTCCAGTCATCATAAGTCCAATTTTTGTGAGCTTTTGCCCACTCATATTTTTTTTCTTGTTCTGTGGATGAAGAAGTGGTTTTTTTGCAGATACGCAACCCTTCAGACCAGCCTTTCTCAAACGTCTTTTCACCATTGTCAGTGACATGGGTTTTGACCTTGTCATGTTGATTTCCTCCTTTATTTGTGGTGCTGTCTTTCGCCGATCTCTCTTACTGATGACAATAATATGTTTATCCTCTGCTTTTGTAGTAACTCTCTTTCGTCCAGGCCTTTTTCTATCATCATTACTTCCTGTTTCTTTCAGTCTCTTCAGAGTGTAGTGAACTCCTTTGTTAGACACCTTTAGGCATTTTGCAATTTACCTTTCAGTGTATCCTTCTTTTCTCAATGTACAAATCTGTACTCTTGTTTCTTTGCGATAGTTTGTCAGAGTTTTGAACACAGGGGAGATTTTTTGGGATTTTTGTATGCAGACACTCAAAAGCCAAGAAGTAAAAGTGAATAATGCAAAGTGATTTGTTTTTTTTTTTCCTTTTACACTGAATTTGTGACTCTTGCTAATCTTCTTCAACCTAAAACTAAGCCCTTTCTTTTGTTGACATTTATTCAGCAATGGTCTGGTAACATCAATGTATACCTAAAGGTAAATTGAGGAAAATGGTGCATATCAATAAAAGCAAAGTCTAGTCATGCAATAAATACATCCCAAAATACATTTAACTTATCCTTTTTTTATGAAAGGCATTGTGAAGTTGTTTCCAAATGGCCTGTTTTGGTCTTGCTTCCAAACTTTTGGCCTGTAGTGTATATTGTGGACTTACACAGGACTTCTGCTGCATATATATAATGTGGACTTACACAGGACGTCTGCAGATATTATTGTTTATATTGTAGACTTACAGGACCTCTGCTTCATATTTTTATTTATATTGTGGACTTACACAGGAACTCTGCTGCATATTATATTTATTTTTATATTATGGACTTACACAGGAACTCTGCTGCATATTATATTTATTTTTATATTATGGACTTACACAGGACCTCTTCTGCATTTGAAACATATATTGTGGACTTACATAGAACCTCAGCTACATATTTTTTTTAATGTTTTTTTACGCTGCTTGCAGTGTCATCTTGGGCCCTAATAATAATGTTAGTCATCTACATGTACTGTATGTTTGCTCTTGACCCTGATGGCAGAACTAATCATTCAGGCCTCAGAAGAAAAACAGGATACCATCTGTAATGTCTATTGGGGGTATGACAGACAAGCTGGTCGAGCAGGGCAGAAAACACTGAGAGTGCAGCTTTGGCAGTTTGAAGGTGAAAACTTTGCTGATGCTGATGCTAATCCAACTCTTGGTGTGGGAGGTGAGCACCTCCCACCTCCCACCATCATGAAGATGAGATGCTGGCTTGGAAGCCAAGAAGTTTCTGTACCCATCAGAGACTTGCCTTCCTTCTAGACATTCAAGGAGCTCGGAAAAAAACAGGAACCAAATGAAACTGCACGATAAAGTGGTTCTGTCCTGCATGGCTTTGGTTTGCTCCCCTCAAACTATTGCTGAGACTGTCCTAATGGCCTTGCTGGGGCTCTAGCTCAGCCTCCTCTTCTTCCTCTTCTATCCCAGCTGATGAATTTCCAGTTGTCACTGCAGTGCAGGATGACGGGAGCACTGCCTGTAGAGACACACTGCACAAGGAAGGTGAGAAATACACCTTATGGTGTCAAAAAGAAGATCTAAAATTTACTCCATTGTATTTAAGCCTGTCAGAAGATCCTAATACTCGAAAGCTCCTTAAAATTAAATACTAGTATAAGGTTGTTTCTACAGCAAAGAGTTCATTAATTGATCAGTTGGAGACAGATTTAAATATTAACATAATACAAAGAGAAATGATCAGGAATAGGCTTTTTTATCGCTAGAGAATGAGTAAACAGTGATTTATAAAATAAAGTAAAATAATCTTCAGGACATATAAATAATGCTACTTATCCTTAAATATAACAGCTTCTGCTAAGAAATCCCTCATGCATTTGCACTGGATGCTTTTAAATCATATATAAAAGAAATAATGGTGCAAAAATTTAAATTTATTCATCTACCAAACAGGAGTAGATTCTTCTACACATCACAAAATAATATTAGTGTTTGCTAAAATCTTAAACTGTTAATCCATCATAAATAATACATCGGAAAAACTGGGGGCATGTAAGAAGAATATAGATGCAAATACTGAATCTTAATCTAAATGTATTTTTTTACTAAACATTAAGAGAAGCAAAGAAAGGCAGAGTACGACCTGCAGAAATTTAAGGGCCTTAAATCAATGTTCAGGTTCAACTGATCTTGGTTCACCGTTTAGCAGAGGGAACAAAGGCAATGTATGCCAAATTATCAAGCATAATAGAAGTGTGACCTGTGCTGCTGTGTTTCTGTAAGTGCACCTCATCTTGAGTAAAAGAGGGGGCTCCATGGGAGACAATGCTGTGGCTTGTACTCCTTTGTGCCTTCTGAGTTATATCTGATTGCCCTCAGTTCATGCACAGTGGTAATCATTGTTCGCTCTCCTGGACTGATTGATTTACTGCGGAAGTGGCTTTGTAAGTCTGAAAAAAGAAAGGAGCTAAGGTAGCTCACACAACAGGGACCTGGTTTGGCTTTTGCTTTATTTATGAAGACAACAAATCCAGCTAGTCCGTGGACATCTTCACTTTTTGTCTTCTCTTTTGTTGCTTTTGTGTAACACAGGCCCTGGAATACATACAGCACCCTTTGAAAAGTAGCAGTCAAAGGGTTGACTGTGTTTTTCACACACTGCAAGAGTCCGTTTTCAGTTGACTGCAATGGAAAACCCTTTTGTTTTGTGTTTACAGATCATTGGACGGACACTTTTTCCTTTCCTGATGATCTTAAAAGGTGCACGGATGAAAAATCTATGATTATTTCTGTTTGGAATATAGGGTCACCTTGACTGTGGCTTTTGATAGGAAAAGACTATAAGGAAAGACAGGATTTTAAAGCTTGCATTTATATGATTAACAAAGTGGTTAACTTTTGGTGCAATCGAACAGTTACAATAAATGTTTATTTACTTTAAAAATCCTCTGGATCTCTAGTCAGAAGTATGGTAACATTAGCATAGGTTACATTTGGTCTAGCTAGCAGGCAGCTGAATACTAACCTCACTATCTAAACTTTTGATTAATCTCAATTATGGCGCCCCCTCTGGACAAAGTTAAAATTTGTGTCTCTTGTCTTGTGTTTTCAGACATAAACCTCATCCCTCAGTCTCTATATAGAGAAAAGTTTCAATCATTAAGTAATTGCCATAGAAAAAAGCTAACAGAAGCTGTTTTTTAGCCTCCTGTCAAGTATCTGGTCTGATACCTACCCTACGCCCCTCACTTTTGATTTCTGTGTTTTGTCTGTCTTTTCTCTGGAAGTGATTCTACCATTTATCTTCACGGATATTACCTACTTTAAGAGAACAAAATCTGTCACATCGATCTCTCAGGAGGGCTGAGTGTAATGGCCATCTGATGAATTTCTTTCCCAACTACTTGGTGAGAGAGGCAGAGGGGCTGTAATGTTGACATACACTCATAAAACTCATAAAGAGAGCTGAAAAGTGGCCATCACCCCCTCTCCCTCCCCCTGCTGGTTGACCCATAGTCATAAGAGCCCGCACCTTTCAATAGTCCTTGAACCTTTTAACCATCTCATCCTGCATGTTCCCTGTTAGCTCTCTCAGGCCTGGATGGTGAAACACAGGCCACTCCACGGAGCTGAGAGGTGGCAGAAACATGTTCTTGCACTCACTTTTTTCATGTTCTACAGAAAGGGAATGAGATGAACCCTCTTTAGACCCCTCTAGACCTTTGTCCAACCTACATTAGGAATCATGAGTGTAATCGACCACCTGGTCACATAAATCCGACTCAGCTGAGTACATATTTTTCTTACAAGTGCCTGGAAAATCTGGTCATCGCCACTGAACTGAGTCATACTTCTTACTGCAAAAGCAAAGCTTTGTTCAAAGGTACATCTGCAGCATGATAATGTAACACTGTTTTAGAAATTTCTTTCCATAACTTACTTTACTGATAGCTTGGTAGATTAACCATATTTTGCTCAATGGGTCTCACTTTTGGCATGATGTTTGTAATTAAGATTTCTGTAACCCCAAATTCCTGATTTTGCCTTTTTATTGTTGCATTTTTACATTTCCAGCTACTCCAGAGAGGCTGACTAAAATGTTCAGTTGATTTATGACTGCTTCTCAAGCCTTAAGCATCTGCAGTATACGAGTATGGCTGCATTAATGTCACTTATATGGTGGAATAATAGAATTGAAATGCTTCCATGCTTGAAGGGCTATTTTTTTAACCAGCACCTTTTTACATAAGGGTTGAAAACCTTGTTAAAATGGAAGGGACTTGATCCATCTTTCAGGTGACTTTTAATTCATACTCTTTTTGAATCATCTCTAGCTCAACATGGCCCCATGTCTCTTTTTTAATTAGAGTAAAACTAAATGACACACCAGCATTGTTTTGATGGGATCTGCTATTGGTATTTTACCTGGAGGCCCTATATTTTTCTATGCAATTCCACATCTCTCAGTTTCCTGTTAGTATTAAAATGAGCAAACATGGGTTATATCTGCTGTTGTAGAAGCCATTTTTTAGTTTACACTACAGCTGTTAACATGTTGCCCTGAGCCTATTTATTCTCAGTTTCCTCGTCCAGTTGATAAAAGGAAGAAGTGACAACATGTGCACAGTGTTTGTGATACCGCCGCTGATATTTAACAATCTTCCAAGTCCTTCAAACAAGTCCTTAATATAAGCTTGCTGATAAGTTGAACATCAGAAGACAGTAATGGTGAGAGAACAGAGGAGATTGAGGGTTTTGGTTAACTGCAGATGAGAGATTAGGAGAACAGATGAACCCTGGCTGCAGAGTGAAGATAACTGGCTGTAAGCAGATGGATGTAGAGGGCGGCTGGTAGAGGCTGACTGTGAGAGAGAAACAGAGCAGAGCAGGACAAGCTTTCTCTTCCTGTTAGAAAACGTCAACACTTGATTAACTGACAAGCAGTGTCATGAGAATTGACTTTAAATAGACAAAAGCAATCATGAGCTGTGGGGTAACCTTGACAATGGAGGAGAGGTGATGATCAAGCCTGGGTAGAGATTAATGCCTTGCCTTTACTTAGTGTGTGCACAGAGGTGAATCAACACCTAATCCATTCATTATCTCTGTGAAAGCCATTATGCCAGGGGAACTCCTCCTCTTTGTGACATTTTGGTCTGATCTTTTCCAAGCTTTCTGCCAAAGTTGCTAACATTAGATTTGAGTAAATCTAACTAATTTGCGGGCTGGAACCCAAGCCTGGAACATCACATGAATAGGAGGTAGTTTTCACAAAAAATGATGTCCGGGTCACCATTAATGTAAAACTTGATTTCTTACCTGTCCAAAGAAAAAATTACCTTTGTCAGGAACTCTGACGATAATTTCACAAGGACTGAGTTAATCTTTAAGCTGAAGTAACTGTCCTAAACAAACTTGTAAACATTGCTTTCTAAATCATTGTCATGTTTTTAGTTTAATATTTTTTCTGTCTTTTCTGATCAAAAGAAACTGCTCTTAAAATTTTACAAACGAGGAGAATTTAGATGAGAAAAACATTTTCCATCTTTTTCTGACAGTGGTTTCATTGAATGCATTGAATGGGAGCATTGAATGCAGCCAAATATCATAGTGTGCATCTTGACAGCTTTTGCACCGGGAATATCCTGATTATTGCTGAAACAAAAGCAAAGTCTGGGGTCAGAGTCATGACCTGACTTGTATGGTGCCTTGGGAGCCCCAGAGGATCATGGGTCTTGTGACCTCTAGATGCTCTGGCAATCATAACTCCCCACAGGGTTTATGTTTTTTCCTTGAAAGAACATATCTGTCACTTTTGCTAGTCAGCACAGTCTAGAGAACTGGTCTGTGAGGACAGCTTTTTTTGGGAGCCTTACAGGATTTCAGTTTTTTGCTTCATCACAGAAATACAGTATTTGTTGCTTGTGTTATACGGTGTACCTACTTAAAGAAGGCATGCATGTTCAATTCAAGTGGAAGTGAATACTGAGTTTAAATGAACTGAAAAGAAAAAAAAATCATCCTCACAACACTGAATCTAATACTCCAGTGCCTTATTCTCTGAAACACATAACTGGGGTTTATAACTTATACACTGCAGGAAATAGACCGCCCCCTCACTGTTTTTCAGCAACAGTAAACATGACCTTCAACTGCTTATAGGATCTCAACTCTAATTTAAAGACAATGGTGCATCTGGTAATCCAGCAGGTACTGCTGTTAAATCTCAAGGTAAATTTACTCTGTGTCAATTGCACGGAATGATATTGAGTTTTTGTTTAGCTAGTGTACTATCTAGCTAGGACAAAGTGAATCATGGGCTGTGAGGACTTGAGATACCTCTTAGAATAGAATAGAATGCTCTTTATTGTCATTATACAAACATTGTACAACGAGATTGGAGAGGGTCTCCCATTCAGTGCAAGTAAAAGTAAAGGTTTAAAATATAAAATATAAATATATATACAAATAACATGCAATAGAGTGTCGACACATTGTTAAATAGATTACACGGGTGTAATGGATTCCACACAGTGGACAGTTGCAGCGATGGTAAAAAACATATTGCACAATAAGTATGGCTATATATGCATATATGTAAAGATAAATACAGTAGTGTTGGCATGTTAATACTGGATATTAAATAGATCGAACAGAGTGTGATGGATTCCACACAGTGGAGCAGTGGTAAAAAACTTATTGCACAGTAGGTATGGCTATATATATACGTATATGTAAATACAACAGTGTTACATGCCGGAGTTCAGGGTGGTGATGGCTATGGGGAAAAAGCAATTTCTTAGTCTATTTGTTCTTGCTCTGAGACATCTGTAGCGCCAGCCAGAAGGCAACAGCTCAAACAGCTGAGAACCAGGATGTGAAGTGTCTGCAGTGATGTTACGGGCTCTGCTGAGACACTGGGAGGTGTAGATGTCCATCATGGACGGGAGAGGACAGCCAACAATCTTCTGTGCTACTCTGACTGTTCTCTTAAGCCTCGTTCTGTCAGCCTCAGTGCAGCTCTCGTACCAGGTGGAGATGCAGTAGGTCAGCAGGCTCTCGATGGCTGAGCGGTTGAAGGCCAGCAGCAGCTTACTGTCCAAGTTGTTCCTCCTAAGGACTCTCAGGTGGTGTAGACGCTGCTGAGCCTTCTTGATGACAGCCGTGATGTTGTTTGTCCAGGAGAGGTCATCTGGGATCTGGACTCCCAGGAACCTAAATGTGTGGACTCTCTCCACATACTTGCCGTTGATGGAGAGGGGGGGCGGCTCAGTTCTGTTCCTCCTGAAATCCATGATGATCTCCTTTGTTTTGGCAGTGTTCAGTGTCAGGTTGTTGTCTGAGCACCAGGTCGAGAGTCTCTGCACCTCCTCTCTGTAAGCTGACTCGTCTCCTCTTGAAATCAGTCCGACCATGGTGGTGTCATCTGCGAATTTGATGATGAGGTTTTTTTTTTGTGGCTTGGGCTGCAGTCGGAGGTGTAGAGGCAGTACAGGAGGGGGCTCAGCACGCAGCCCTGGGGTGACCCAGTGCTCAGTGTGTGGGTGGGGGAGAGGTGGGGGCCAAGTCTCACCATCTGGGGTCTGTTGGTCAGAAAGTCCTTAATCCAGGAGCAGGTGGGAGGGGGAAGGCCCAGGGTGACCAGTTTGGTGATGAGGATGTCCGGAATGATGGTGTTGAATGCCGAACTATAATCCACAAAGAGCATCCTGGCATAGCTCTGCTGTTGTTCCAGGTGTTTCAGCACAGCGTGCAGAGCTATGGCAATGGCGTCCTCTGTCGATCTGTTAGCCCGGTAAGCAAACTGGTGGGGGTCTAGTGTCGGGGGAGACAGTCCTTGATGTGCTTGAGAACCAGCCTCTCAAAGCACTTCATGATTATAGGTGTGAGGGCAACAGGGCGGTAGTCATTTGGGCTGGTTGTAGGTGACTTCTTTGGCACTGGGATTATTGTGGCAGACTTCAGGCTGGTGGGGATGACTGCTTGGGCCAGGGAGAGGTTGAAAATCTCGCAGAAAACACGTGACAGCTGGTGTGCACATGCTCTGAGCACCTTGCCTGGCACTTTGTCTGGGCCAGCAGCCTTCTTGGGGTTAACTGCCAGGAGGACGCGCCTCACATCATGCTCCTCGATGGTGAACGCTGGGGTGGTGGATCCTGACGAGGGTGACGGCTGGGCTGGAGCAGAGGAGTGGCGCTGCGTTGAGTCAAAGCGGGCAAAGAAACAGTTGAGTTCCTCTGCTAGTGCCTCACACAGGTCTCCTGGTGAAGCATCACAGCCTCTGTAGTTGGTGATGCTTTGAAGACCCTGCCACATCTCCCGTGGTCTGTTGCTGGTGAGGTGGGACTCTATCTTCTTGTTGTAGTCCTCTTTGGCATTTTTAACACCTCTCCTCAGGTCAGCTCGAGCCGCGCTGTAGAGAGCCCTGTCACCTGACCTGAAGGCAGCGTCACGGGACTTGAGGAGGGAATGGACCTGGCCGGTCATCCATGGTTTACTGTTGGGATAAATCCGGATGCATTTATCCACAGTCACAGTATCCATGCAGAACTTGATGTTGTCCAAAACTGTCTCTGTGTGATGCCAAGTAGGCCTTTTAATAATGTCCCTATTGCATTTGAAGCTTTCTGGTGCCAGGTATTGTTTGGGCATATGTAACTGAGTTTGAAATAACTTTTGAATTGAATTTTTGTGGTAGGGCTCCACCATGCATACCTCGGCATAGACAAATTCCCCTGAGCTGAAGCTAGGTGTGTGTGCAGCAACTAGGGTTCCCAACTGTACCGTAAAAAACGGGATTGTACCGTATTTGAAAACAAAAGGACATGTCCCGTAATTAACTAAAACGGGACGCTCCTTTTCCCGTATTTTCTGACAGCGTCTCTCTGCCTAACACACTGTCACAGGCTCACATCAGCAGCTTGGCAGCTGAGCTATGGGACGAGTTACAAAACACAGCAGACTACCAGCTATGGGTTGTTAACAAGAGCGCGATATGCATAGTAACTGTAACTGCTTCTCATTTACACAGCTCTGGACACAAGTACTTACTAAAACAAAGAGGGGTGTGTGATTTTGTCCTCTCTGGTTCCATAGGCAGTTTTAGGATTTGCCAACAGGGGGTGCAACTTGCCAGAGAAGTTAGTCTTTGTTTTTTGGTTTGTTTTTTGCAAGGCCAAACCTGGAAAACTCATGTTTACTGATTTACAATAGGATGCGATGTTTTAGTTTGTAATATTTTATGGAGGTTATATAATTACAGTTAACTGTAATAAAGTGTTTGCACTTTGACTTCTTGAATAAGTCAAACATTGTTTCAATATGGTGACATTGCACTATATGTTCAGTGAAGAATTATTATTATTATTTTGCACACAATAAATTCTTCAATGATACATTGATATGGGATTTGGGGGGGGGGGGGGGTTGACCCACCCTAAATCCCCACATTTTTCGGCCCGGCCTGAAATAAGGGACACCAAAATTTTTTCGCGATTCGATTAACTGTCCCTTATTTTAATTTCTTGGAGTTGGCAACCCTAGCAGCAACGAATGCCCCTTTTTATATTTAAGAACTGTTCTACAAACTTTCAGTAATGTGCATTTTGATTTTGACATGACTAGAAATTAATGTGATAGGTAGGTTAGATTAGAAGTTATAGACTCCTACGTGTCATAAAATAACTTAGTCCACCAACTGTATACATAATAAGCCAATGCTAGCTAGCTTACTCTGGTATATTCACATTACAGCTCTTTCCCTTTGTGTTGTGCAGTTGACAGTCCTTGCAGTTGCATTTTGCAGCCTGATGACTGTATACTGTGGGTTATTATACCAGGTAGGCCTTGTTACATGGGTTTTATAGAATGTTTTTTCACTTAAAGTTGGTAGTTTCAAAGCTTGGCTATAAGGCGTATAGCAGTCAGCGATATATTTAATTTTATACACATCCATAAGACACTTTAACTTTACCAAGGCAAACGAGAAACCTCTGCAACAAAACTTCAGATTTTGATTGCAAAATGTACTCAACAAAACCAAATAGTGCTACTTTCGTCTACAGCAAGTTGCCATGCTGTACACAGAACAACTGTTCTTGGAGGCGTCTAAGTTATTCTTGAAAATTGACACCAGGGAGGATTTCTTCTACTGAGTTAGACCATGAACACCTAAAGCTGCAGCACTTTTCCTAACCAACAGCGACAAGATATTTGTTAGGCTATCATTTAATTAAACCAGATGATGATATTCACATTAAGATTCAATGAAGAATTCATCCAATCTGTCCATAACAGCAAGACTGACTTGCACTTTTCTAAATCTTGAATTTTCCTAACATCTATGTCTTATTCTACTTCCTTAACTGCATAGCAGTGTGTGACTATTGCAGGTGTTATAGCCTCTGACCCATTTCACCTATTTGCTCCACTTGCAGACTGCGGCATTATCATTACTGCATACCAGACAGAGCCACCTCTGACTATAATCCCTGCAAGGCATCTGGTCCTCATTATTCTGTGTGTTTTGGCCTTTTGGGTCAGAGATGACATGTAACTGCATGCCATTAAATTTAGATAATACACAATGAGCTACACAGAAGAAAGGGCATTGTTATCTCACAGCACAGGTCAACGGTTTTTGACCCTTTACATGTTCACATTCACAGTGATGATAGAGAGGGGCAGTGTTTGTTTTATATTTCATTGGCATGAACATTTAGTATCAGTGCTGAGGCGTTTCTTCCAGCCTTTTCCCTCCTCTTGCCTGTCACATAACAACAGTCTCCCAGCCAAACTCATACAGTATATGTAACTACATGAATCCACATCAGAGGGAGTTGGGCATGAGCTAAACAGACAAAAAGATGACAATTAATTCAAAATATGAGCTGCTTTCAAATCATTTGCTCATGTTTTATAGGTATCAGTCATTTCTAATTATCCAAAAACAGGTCAAATACCTTTGACTTTACCCTTGATCATATTTTTAAGGCACCATTTTACACTGTATAACCAAATTATTTGATAGATTTTGTCAACAGTTGTTGTCTTTTGTCTCTACAGGCCTGCCACTGAGCCAATGTGAAGCCAGTCTCTGTTAAATATATGGGAAAGTGGTCCCTCATAGTGCATCAATAAACCAAGTACGCTGTGAGCGCATTGTGCAGATTGAACAGGGCTTTTGCACTGTCATCTTATGAACCTGTAAAAGGTTTGAATAAGCCTGCTGGTTTATGGTGTCACGTCCGACTCACCTCTAGAAGCCAATTAGGCCAGGAGACCGAGAAATAATGTCTTCATGATTTGTTAATGCATTTATATCTGCAGTATCCTGGAGTTTCTTCTATGGTGACCCCACAGAACATCCTTGTCATAATTTGATTTCCTCTCCCCCTGGAGACTGCGCTGCCAAAAGCATAAACACTCTGGGCAATTCATACTCTTTTTTTCTTAAATATTATTATTAGTGAATGGTTGTTTATTGATTCCAGCCCACAATGTCTGAGCCACAGTATTGTAAGACTTTTGTTTTCAAGTTACTGTTGCATAAACCTACCTAAAAATATGTTTTTCCTTCCACATCTAAATATAATACAGCATGACATGAAATCTTGACTTTCTGTAGACATTTTAAGGACATTTAGGACCTGCTTTACCCATGTGCTTTGGGGGATTGTCTGTACTTTGGAGGATTTAGGAGGAGTAGGAGACTTTGGCAGTGACACTTCAGAGTTAATATCGAACCAGTATGCATGACGTATCCGTTTATAATAAAAGCATGTGTAGAAATGGCTAAAACATGATGATGATACACTGTGTTGTATTGACAATTTTACTTTGAGCTCAGAGGCCTTTAATTTTTCTAAACAATCCTTTGATATTTGTCCATAACCTCAAAAAAGTCTTCTAGTTCAAAGTTTGTATGATGTGTTAAATAGCTAACTGTCCAAATAAGGTCTTGTACCATAGCTTGTAATGCAAATCAAAGCAAAACCAAGCCAAAAGGTCAAGGAACTCCCTGCAGTGCTCAGAGACATATCAAGGGAAGGTTCTGAAAATTGCACTGTGGCCTCTACAGTAATGAAATGGGGAAAGTTTGGGATAGCCAAAACTCTTCCTAGAGCTACTTTGTGTTCCCAAGTGGCCTCAACATGAACTCATTGGCACATATCTGGAAAGGGACTGAAAATGACTGACCAGTGACAGTCCCTGTCTAACCTGACAGAGGTGTGAAGGTTCCGCTGAGATAGGCAGCAAATCCCCAATCCAGATGTGCAAAGTGAGTCATGTCATACCCTGCTGTAATTACTGCCAAAGGTGCTTCAACTAAGTACTGTGACAGGTGCCTGGATACATGTGTCATCTTGATGTGTCAAGAGATAAAGCAGGCTGAGACTTTCATTATTAGGAATTTATGAGGACAGAAGCCATGAATTCAGTAGACTTGACCAAAATGTTATGTTCCTCATGTATCTTGGGTTTTATGCTGTGTCTCTGTTCCCCCTTTTTTAAATTGATATTAAGTGCAATTTGAGAAAAGAAATTACTTTAACAGCAGCAAACATTTGCAGAAAAAGTAGAAATAGATGTAGTGGATTACATTTCTTTTTACATGAGGCCTAAACTGGGATCACTAAATTGATAACAGATCATCCAGAGAGGGGGGACACGGATAGCTATACCAAATTTCCTAAAAAATAGCTTCAATGTCGTTCCATTATTGAAGGCTTATTGATAAATAATGTAATTTTTGTGTCACATCTCTCCATATAAAAGGGTGGGCAAATAAGATGGTAAAAATCCAATGTCACTTTATCCAAGATGTGATGGGGGTAAAAGTTAATCTGTATATTCAGTTTGAGATGCTACAACAGCTTTACCGGAGCTTCATGTTCTGTATCCCACATCATCCCACCTCTACTCCTACACTAAACCATACAGCTGGCACAGCGGGTGCAACTTTCTATTTTGGTTTAAGACAAATACTTTAGTTGAAAGGCAGATGGCTAGAAAACAATCTTGAGTTCAACATTTTACATTTAGTGTTGTTATAAAAAAGGCTTAAAAGGCATTGTGCAATGATGGCATTGCTAACTTTTATCTATCTATCTATCTATCTATCTATCTATCTATCTATCTATCTATCTATCTATCTATCTATCTATCTATCTATCTATCTATCTATCTATCTATCTATCTATCTATCTATCTGTCTGTCTGTCTGTCTGTCTGTCTGTCTGTCTGTCTTTCTGCCTGTTTATAAAAAAGTAGGCTAAGCTACAAACAAACAATCAATCTTTAATTTTATGCAGAAATTGCTGCCTGCAGTGTCACAGCCACTGGATCTGTTAGTTATCATCTGATATCCCACATGGAAGGTAGCTGCGGTGAGACATAAGCAGACATCAACACTGGTCGTGCTGCATTACACATGCTGGCCTGCTGTCCTCATAATCTCCATGCCATCTGGTTGGGAACCTCACTGTCCCTTTTGCACCTCTGGCACATTAGTATTCC